CCCCAGCATGCATCTCTGTCTATGGAGGGACCACTTGGAGGGAGACGGACTCCCCTAGTAAGGTCACCGGACAGGGACTCTGTGTCAGAGGCACTTTCAAAGGGGTCAGTTTTTGTGTCTGATCGGCTTTCACTCTGGTGGGACAGTGTCTCAAAATCATCATGGTCTGTTTCCTGGCTCCATCCCTGCTCCTCTAGTTCTTCAGGGGCCAGGGGGAGCTGGTTATCTTCAATCTCACCTTCACCTGGCAGGTGTGCACCTGGCTCTGGAGTCTGGAAGGGCAAGAAGAAAGGTGTCAGAGTCGAGACCTGAGGACATGTGCACACATCTTTGCACCATGCCTGCCTTCATCAGGAGGAGGAGGGCTCAGAAACTCTCATCAGTCTCCTTAGTCCCCCCAGGCACCCTTAGGAAGGGAGGTAAGGATGAAGAGCTACCTTTTATTGACACAGAAAACAAGTGATGAAGCCAAACCCAAACAGTAGGGAGAAAATATAGCACATAGTTAAAACAACCCTATTAAAAAATCAGAATAGGCCGAATGAGCATGTGCAGTTTAAGTAAGTATAAATATATTGTATGAGTCATGGTGAAAGCATATCTCTGCCTCATGTTTTCAGCAAGAAGGAATAAATTAATATATGTTTGCATTGCATTCTGTTTGTTCTTATGTAACCAACTGGCTTAAAATCAATGCTCTTGCACTTAGAAGTATTTTCTGAGTTTGGTTTGCTGGGGCAAAAAAGTAAAAAAAACCCTGAGAATTACTAAAATTGCAAACACATTTTGGTATGTTAGAAATGCCTAAGACAGCTTTGAAAACAAGAAGAAAAACAGAACTGTGCAAGTATTTGCAGAATTGCCTTCCCTCATTACCTATTTCTTAACTTATTGAGATATAAATTTCTATGCAGCCATTAAAGCGTACAGATCTATAAGTTCTGACAAATGTGTACCTACCACCATGATAAAGATCTAGACTATTTCCATTTATCCAAAAAGTCTCTGCCCCTTTCCAGT